ATACTCCAAGCAGAAGTCTAGTGATTTAAGTCTCTGGTAAGAGATATTTGTGTCAATTGTCACACCCTGTAAATTCAATGTTCCTTGTCCCATACGTACTCGACTCAACTTGACTGAACGTGGTAGACTTTTATTCCTCACCTCTTTATTAAGAAATATAGAATTATTTTATTTATTAAGGATAGAATAGTTTTTTATTTTCTCTACTATATTTAGCTTATATATAGTCTCTTTATATTTAGGTTAAATTGTTTCCTTGCATTCAATTGAATTATGCAGTATCAATAAAACCCTAACCTCCTCTTTTTTTTATCTCTTGTTTTTCTTTAGATTGTTCAACATGGTATCAGAGCAAAGTTTTATGGGACAAAACTTAATCTCAAACACAGTTTACGCGAATCCAACTCCGCGGTGAGTTGGCTGGGGGTTTTTGAGAAGGTATTTTTTTTTTTTGAGAAGGTATTTGTTCCGTTTAAGCAATCTGGTATTTGTTCCGTTTTTACAATTTGCTATTTGTTTCGTTTTTACAATCTGGTATTTATTCTGTTTTTGCAATCTAATTTTCTTTGTTTGTTGATTATGGCTACTGCAAGAAACGATTCGCTTCAGCCTGTGAGTGTGCGGTTGGATGGAAAGAATTATTCGTATTGGAGTTATGTGATGAAAAATTTTCTTAAAGGTAAAAAGCTATGGGGATATGTTAGTGGAACTTTTGTGAAACCTAAGAATACTGATGTGAGTTATGTTGATTTGATAGATGTCTGAGAAGTAGACAATACAAAAATTATTACTTGGATCAACAATTCTGTTGAGCATTTTATAGGTACGCAGTTGGCAAAATGTGAGACAGTAAATGAGGTTTAGGATCATCTGTAAAGGTTATTCACTCAATCAAATTTTGCAAAGTAGTATCAATTGGAACATGACATACGAGCTCTTCAGAAGAAGAATATGAGTATTCAGGAGTTTTATTCTGCTATGACAGATCTTTGAGATCAATTGGCTCTTACAGAATCAACTAAATTAAAGGCATGTGGTGCCTATATTGCTCGTAGAGAGCAACAACGGTTAGTACTGTTTTTAATGACACTTCATAGTGATTTTGAAGGACTTAGAGGTTCAATTTTGCATCATTCTCCTCTTCCTTCTGTTGACTTAGTTGTCGGTGAGTTATTAGCTGAAGAGATACATCTTAAGTCTTATTCTGATAAGGGAATTCTTTCTACTTCTGATCCTTCTGTGCTAGCAGTACTTTCTAAATCATTCTCTCATAATCAGAATAAGCCTTACACAAGGTCTACCTTCGACGAGTGCAATTTCTATAAGCAGAAAGGTTATTGGAAGACTCAATGTCCTAAGTTAAGATAGCAGACTCAATCGCAACAGCAATCTCAAGCTTGAAAGTCTGGGAACCAGTCACAATCTAATGCTCCTAGACCACCTTAGGGTTATAAACCACCACAGTCTAATACTGCAGCAGTAGTTTCATCAGGTTCTTTCATTGATTCTAGTACCTTGGCTGAGCAATTTCAGAAGTGTCTCTCCTTACAGCCACAAGCTATGTCTGCTTCTTCTTCAGGAGGTCAGTTGCCTCATAGTTCTCTAGGTATGTCACATTCTGTATGGTCTTGGATTCTGGTGCTTCACATCATATGTCATCAGATTCTTCATCTTTTGCTTCTGTATCTCCTTTATCTTCTATTCCTGTTATGATTGCTGATGACACTCCTATGCCTTTAGCAGGTGTTGGTTCTATTGTCACACCTCACTTGTCTCACCCTAATGTTTATCATATTCCAAAACTCGCATTAAATCTTGCTTCTGTTGGTCAGTTATGTGATTCTGGAAATTTAGTCACATTTTCCTCTTCTTCTTGTTATGTGCAGGATTTGTAGTTTCAGAAGCTGATTGGGACATGTCGTAGGAAGGGAGGACTATATATTTTGGATGAGTTAAAAGTGCTAATTGCTGCTACTAGTGTTGATTTGTCTTCTTTTTGTTTGAGTCCTTATTCTTCTAGTTTTTATTTATGGCATTCTCGTTTAGGTCATGTTTCGTCTTCTCGTTTGAGATTTTTGGTATCCACAGGGGCTTTAGGAAATTTGCAAACTTGTGATATTTCTGATTGTAGTGGATGTAAACTGGCAAAATTTTCAGCTTTACCTTTTAATCGAAGTATTTCTGTTTCTTCTTCTCCATTTGATTTGATTCATTCTGATGTATGGGGATCTTCTCTTGTTGCCACAAAAGGAGGGTCTCGATATTATGTTTCTTTTATTGATGATTATACTTGTTATTGTTGGATTTATTTAATGAAACATCGTTCTGAATTTTTTGAGATATATACAACCTTTCTAGTTTTTGTCAAAACTCAACATTCTGCTGTTATCAAATGTTTTAGGTGTGATTTGGGTAGGGAATACACTTCTAATAAATTTGATGAGTTGCTTGCCTTAGATGAAACTATTTACCAAACTTCGTGTACAGATACTCCTTAGCAAAATGGTGTTGCTGAAAGAAAACATAGGCATATTGTTGAAATTGCTTGTTCTCTTTTGTTGTCTTCTTCTGTTCCTAGTAAGTTTTGGGGTGAAGCTATTCTTACTGCTGTAGGTTTGATTAATACAATTCTATCTTTTCATATTTCAGGTGTTTCTCCTTTTGAAAAGTTGTATGGGTATACCCCTGATTATTCTTCATTTAGAGTTTTTGGTTGTACTTGTTTCGTTCTTCGTCCTCATGTTGAGTGCAACAAGCTGTCCTCTTGATCTGTTATTTGTGTCTTTCTTGGTTATGGTGCAGGTAAAAAGGGATATCGTTATTTTGATCCAATAACTCAAAAATTTTATGTCTCGTCATGTTGTTTTTCTTAAGCATATACCTTTCTTTTCTATTTTATCCACTACTTATAGCTTGACTAGATCTGATCTTATTCGAATAGATCCTTTTTCTGAGGATTCTGATAGTTTGTCATCTCAGGTTTCTAGTACTTTAAATATCAGCACTGATCATTCTACAAGTATTGACACTTTACTCTCTAGCACACCTGAAGCTACCTCCTCTCCTATGGTCCCTCAAGCTCCATTTGAGATTGTGGATCCACCTCTACGTCAATCCACACGCATTCGTAAGTCCACAAAGTTACTAAATTTTACTTATTCTTGTTATTCTTCATCTTTTACTTCCTTTTTAGCTTCTATTCATTGTCTCTCTGAGCCCTCTTCCTATAAAAAGCAATTCTTGACCCTCTTTGGCAGCAAGCTATAGATGAGGAACTTTCTGCTTTGTATAAAACAGGTACTTGAGATCTGGTTCCTCTATCTCCTGGTAAGAGTGTTGTTGGTTGTCGTTGGGTGTATAAGATTAAGACCAATTCTGATGGATCTGTTGAGCGATACAAAGTTAGGTTAGTTGCAAAAAGGTACTCTCAACAGTATGGTATGAATTATGAGGAGACATTTGCTCCTGTTGTAAAAATGACTACTATTCGTACTCTTATTGCAGTTGCTTCGGTTCGTCAGTGGCATATCTCTCAACTTGATGTTAAAAAAGTCTTCTTGAATGGGGATCTTCAAGAAGAAGTTTATATGACTCCCCCTCCTGGTGTTTCACATGATTCTGGGTATGTTTGTAAACTCAAGAAAGCGTTATATGGTCTCAAACAAGCACCTCGTGCTTGGTTTGAGAAATTTTTTGTTGTGATCTCTTCCTTTTGATTTACTTCTAGTAGTCATGATTCTTCTCTTTTTGTTAAGTGCACTGATACAGGTCGTATCATTCTGTCTTTATATATTGATGACAAAATTATTACTGGTGATGATATTAATGATATTTCAGTTTTGAAGACATAGTTAGTTAGACAGTTTGAAATGAAGGATTTGAGTTCTCTACGATATTTCTTGGGTATTGAGGTAGCCTGCTCACCCATAGGTTATCTTCTTTCTCAGTCAAAATATGTTACAGATATTCTTGAGCGAGCTAGACTTACTGATAATAAGACTGTAGATACTCCCATTGAGGTTAACGCAAAGTATTCTTTTTCTGATGGTTTACCTTTGTCAGATCCTACTTTATACGTACTATTGTTGGGAGCTTGGTATATCTCACTATTACTCGTTCAGATATTGCCTATGTTGTTTATGTTGTTAGTTAGTTTGTTGCTTCTCCTACTACAGTTCATTGGACAACGATTCTTCGTATTTTGAGGTATCTTCGGGGTACAGTCTTTCAGAGTTTTTTACTTCCATCCACCTCTTCCTTGGAGCTGTGTGCATACTCTGATGCTGATCATGACAGTGATCCCACAGATCGCAAATCTGTTACTGATTTTTGTATCTTTTTGGGTGATTCTCTTATTTCTTGGAAGAGCAAGAAACAATCTATTGTTTCTCAATCTTCAACCGAAGCAGAATATCGTGCTATGACATCTACTACCAAAGAGATTGTTTGGTTACGTTGGTTACTTGTAGATATGGGAGTTTCTCTTTCTAATCCCACTCCTATGTATTGTGACAACCGGAGTTCTATTCAGATTGCTCACAACTCGATTTTTCATGAACAAACTAAGCACATTGAGATCGATTGTCACCTTACTCGTCATCATCTCAAGCATGACATCATTATTTTGCCCTTTGTTTCTTATTCTTTGCAGATTGCAGATTTCTTTATCAAGTCACATTCTATTTCCGTTTTCGTTTTCTAGTTGGCAAACTCTCGATGCTTGTCGCTGCTGCATCGTGAGTTTGAGGGGAGATGTTAAGAAATATAGGGTTATTTTATTTATTAAGGGTAGAATAGTCCTTTACTTTCCCTGTCTTCTTTAACTTATATATAGTCTCTTTGTATTTAGGTTAAATTGTTTCCTTGTATTCATTGAATTATGCAGTATCAATAAAACCCTAGCCTCCTCTTTTCTTATCTCTTGTATTTCTTTAGATTGTTCAACACTCTCAACTTCAATGCAATAGATTTTTTTTCCATCATCAAACAGGAAAAAAAAACTAGAAAAAAGTATTTCTAGAAGATATTTTTTTTCCATCCTTTTTAACTTGGAAGCCTGCCACTCCATTTATTTCTAGAAGGATGGTAATTCCAGTAACATCTGAGTGAGGAGTGAAGCCCATGACTTGCTCTGGTTGTGGGCAAGGAGGATAGTAATTCATCCTCACCGATTGCATCCCATCCATAAACATCTCTTTTATCTCTCCATTATCAATCTTTAGTGCATCTACCATTAACCCAAAGAGAGTCATTGCATTTTTTTGCAGCTCTGAGAAATAAAACTCCAGAGTATCCCTGCAACGAATCAGAGATTAAGATGATAAACGAATCAAACTTGATATTGAATACGAGTTTGAGCTTGAGTTTATATTTGAAGACAAGTCTAAGATTAGTATGTTTAGTCAAATGAGTTGAATCGACCTAGACAATAAGTTAATCAGACAGCTTTAACAAACATGGTGCTTGTTCAGCTCATTTTGACTGTTAGATACCTTTATGGATGCTTAGAAAGGTATATATGATGCTAGTGCCTATATATATATATATATATATATATTGTCAGAGAGAGAGAAAACCTTAGTGATACAGGGAGCTCAGGCAATAAGTGTGGTTTCCTTCTATGTATTGGGTTGGTTATCATGTAAAGCCTATCTCCCCAGTGAGCCTTTTCATCTTCAGACCGGATCATGGTATGGCCATACCCTTCAACATCACCAGGCTTCACCTTGTATTTCTCTTTCACAGGAAGCTTGTAAAATTCTTCAATCTCATGTTTTAGCTTTTCAACCCGCAAAGATCTAACTCCATGGTTCACCACCTGTAGATAATTCAGAACAATTAGTGTTTATGATATTTCTACCATATTTCTATTGTGTATCTTACCAAAAAAGACTCTTTTCTATTGCACCACACTTTTTTTTCTCTATATATCTGATATATCTTTGAAACTCATGATTGCAGCGTAAATCTCAAATTCACTCAGTTATCTATAATCCACGTGTATCGAGTACGTATGGGTTTTATGCAGCTAGTGAGACTCAAGCTCAAGACTCGAGTTCTATACCAACTGGTGAGTAGCCTCACTTGTGACATGGAGGTCCTCAGTTCGAACTCCCCTCCCCCGTATTGCTGTTGTGTCCAAAAAAAGAAAAGATTCAAGCTCGAAACTTGCAAGTTTATGTCTCAGCCCTTGTTCAGCCATGAAGTCAAAATACTGTTCCAAAACTACAAAGTTAAACGGATGATAAAGATTTGAGTCATAAAGGCAATCACATGAAGTTGTCAATGCCAATTTTGAGATAAAGGAGGAAAAACCTGAAAGATGCCCAAGGTTTTGCAGATTGAGTGCAAATTTTCAAGTTCTAAATCCTTGGCCCCTCCTATACTCAAGTTTTTCATGTCAACAATGGGCAAGGAAAAGGCATCTGAGTGAACAGTTGGTTCTTGATGTACCTGAACATAGCGCTGTGGGATGGCAAACATGGGCTCTTTGGCAAGCTCTTGAACACTCGGTAAACTCTTGTCATTCACGACTGTCTGAGAGGAAGCCATTGCTCAATTGTAAGTGTACATATTCAACCACTTAAGGTGGATATTTATAAGTCCCCGTAGATATCTTAGTGAAAAGAGGCCGGTTAGTGTGGAGGAACCGTAACTCTGTTGTCTTATGTTTGACTGTTATTGGTATCTCTTGGTTAGTTGTGATTACGTGTATCTGAGTTACCATGTGTGTAAGAAAGTCTCTTACCATAAAAAAATTAAATAATTCGACCAAGAAAAGAACATAAAATAAGTTTTATTGTCGTAAAAAAGATTAAATAATCCGACCAAGAAAAAAACATAAAATAAAAAATCAACGGCACTGGAACATGGGCATTATTTTATTGTCACAACTCTGATTCAAGTAGATACTATATGAACAAAATAAGTTAGTAGACATGTGAAACAACTGATAGTCATTATGTTTCGTGAAGCTGGAACATGTCAATTGTGCAACTGGTATCTATGGGACACTGGTATATATTCAGAAGATCTTTGAAATCTCTCTTGTACATGAACCTCAATATGCTCTTTCACTTTTTTTTTTGGTAAGTAAGATGAATGCTCAATCCAACATCGAGTGGAAAATCAAGTAATGGCTTACACTTTCAATGGAATCCTTCATGGATGGTCTCAAGATATACGAAACCCATAAATGGCAATCGATGTACACCCGTAATTTTGGATCCAAATCCACTCTAACACTATATTCAGTAAATTCTTTACCCACCATGAATCTAAATAGATCTACCGCACTCGATAGGATTTTCCTACCATCCAATACAGGATGAATGACATGACATTGAAACAATTGATATTATAATCTGATACTATAGTGGATTAGTTCTGTCCCTCTATTGTCTACTTTAAAGTTTAAAACATGTTAGGCATGCCATGACTTACGCCACTACCTTAATTATATAGGTCTGAATAAAAAAGTATTCAAGAGTCTACGAATTCTTCACTGAACATGTCTAGAAACCACATAATGAATGTAATTTTCATCTGTTGCGTATTGAGTCAGATTGCATTTTCTTAAATTCAAAGGCCACAAATGTGCTTGTTCCAAATTCTGATAATTGTATACAATTCCGACTAGGAATGGATAAGATTATCATACTGACTTAGTACCATATCGAAATTTATCCCAATTATTGATTTTATTTTGGATAATTTGCAATCATTTCACAAAATAATAAAATTTTATCCATGATAAATTTTTAGGGGTCGTTTGGTTTCAGTATCAAGGGATGTATTAAAAGATCATAACAAATTAAAACTCTTTAATCCAACCTTATATTGCATTTGGTTGCAAAAAATATTCCGTATTATATGTAGTCTTATTTCAAATACTTATTTAAATAATACATTATATTCGTACTATTGAGTCGATTATAATACCACAACTTAAGGAGTGGTATTGTAGTCTAGTTCAAATATATTAAGTTATAAATTTATCATTTTGCCCACCAAATAAACAAAAATATTAATAACTAGACAAAATTGAAATTTTTTGATCAATATATAATTTGTACTATATTTTCTCACCCTTACTCAGTGTCTTACCAAGCACTGGATTACATTGAATATTAACTGATGGGTCAACCCCAAATGACCCAATACATGTGGAAAGTCCAATCTTAACTTAGAGCCCAAGCTTTTAAGGACCCATCAAGCCCAACGCGATCCAAGTCCAGTCAAACTCATCAGCTTGGCTACAAAAAGAGCATCCAGGACTCTTATCCTTATCGCCTTGAAAATAGTCAACCCTCACCTCATCTTTTGACCGAGTCTCATGGAGAGCATCTAAAACGCCTCACCCGTTGAGAAGAAGTCGTCAGCTCCACCAAGATAGTTATTTAGTTGCTATTAAGTCGTCACAATCTGTTAGGGAGCGACTATAAATTGTAAGTCCTGCCAACACTTGGGGGACATCAGACTCTATTGAGCACAATTCTCTCCTCTCATTCTCTAAGCTTGTAACTCTCTGCTTTTCCTACACACCTGAAGTAATAAAAATACTCGGCGACCTTAGCCATTCAAAGTGGACGTAGGTTACGTTGACCGAACCATTATAAATCTCTTGTGTCTCTCCATTTCCCTACTTTAATATTGCATTTATTACTATTCACTTGACAGGTGGTGTGCAAAACTAATTTGTGCATCATCAGTTTAGTGTCGTCTGTGGGAACGATTAAATTCTCGCTTCTAAACACTCACTTTGTTGAACCTATGACGATCACCATTAGATAGATAAATCAACCTGAGGATAATCCATCACGAGAATAGAAGGTTCCTCCTTCACCAACCAATACTGTCCCAAATACACATCAAATGTTGGAGACTATCTAGCAGCTTGTGGCGCAAAACCAACAGATCCTGCAACTCACGTTCACCGGACAAGGGGGAACACCTCAAGGCATAGGAGCTCCACGCCCTGGGTATCAAGGAGCTCCCCATCTAGGCACCCCCTTGGAAGCCCCACACAGGGGGGGCCACCATGAGGGACCTCCACCTCCTTCTCCAGATGCTATTCCCCATGGTGGAGACCCTCATTTTCAAGAGGATGAGGGTGAATGTAGGTCATTCAAAGTAGATGTAGATCACATTGACCGAACCATTATAACTCACTTGTGTCTTTCCATCTCCCTACTTTAATATTGCGTTTATTACTGTTCACTTGACAGGTGGTGTGCAAAGTTAATTTGTGCATCATCAATTTGGTGCCGTCTGTGAGAACAATTAAATTCTTGCTTCTAAACACTCCCTCTGTTGAACCTATGGCGATAACCACCAGATCGATAAATCAACCTGAGGATAATCCACCACAAGAAGAGAAGGTTCCTCATCCACCAACCAATCCTGTCCCAAATACACAACAGATGTTGGTGACTATCCAGCAGCTTGTGGCCCAAAACCAGTAGATCTTGCAACTCATGCTCGTCGGACAAGGAGGAACACCTCAAGGCATAGGAGCTCCACGCCCTAGGCGTTAAGGAGTTCCCTATCTGGGCGCCCCCTTGGAAGCCCCACACAAGGGGGCTCACTATGAGGATCCTCCACCTCCTTCTCCAGCTACTGTTTCCCATCGGGGAGACTCTTATTTCCAAGAGGATGAGGGTGAAAACCAAAGCATAGAGCATAAGAGTCATTTTCATGATAATTCTCAAGGAGTTCCGAACCAATGGGACAAAAAAATAAAAGAGGTGCAAAATCAATTGGGTGATGTCTTCAAAGCCATGAAGGCGTAAGGACTTGAGATCGTGGACTACCTCGTTAAGTGAACTGACACGCCTTTCAAACCCGACGTGGCGAACTACCCCATCGCTCAAAAGTTTAAAACGCCATCTGTGGAGACATTTGACGAAACAAAGGATCCACTAGACCACCTCGAAACTTACAAAACTCTAATGCAGCTGCACAATGTTCTCGACGAGATCATGTGCAGGGCGTTCCCAACCACCTTGAAGGGATCTGCCCGATAATGATTCGCCAAGCTCTCCCTATCTTCCATTGCCTCCTTTGCTGAGCTGAGCAGGTCCTTTGTGTTGCACTTTATTGGAGGGCGCCGCCACCAGAAGCTTGTCACCCACCTGCTCAGCAGAAAGTAGGACCGTAAGGAAAGCCTAAGGAGATACCTCACTGGTTTTAACGAAGAGGTCCTATAAGTTAAGGAGCCCGATGACAAAGTTACTATGATCACCTTCTTAGGAGGCCTCTGCTCGTCAAGCTTTCTCTTCTCAATGATGAAGCGTCCACCAAAGAGTATGCCAGAGCAACTAGCAAAGGGCCAAAAGTAAATGAATGCTGAGGACATCTCGAGGGCTAGACAAGGTGAGTCATCCAGAATAGGGGAGAACAGAAAGGAAAGAGATAGAGATGACAAAAAAGAGACTAGCAACAAGCGCAGGAGGATAAAGAGGGTACCCGTCAAGGACCACCTCGGTCCTGCTCCTTAGAGAGACCGACAAGCCTTCACTCCCCTTAATGTCGCTATCAGGCACATCTTGTTCCAGATCCAGGATAACCTCGTAATAAAGTGGCTTGGGAGGATGAAGTCTCCTCCAAACCGCAGGAACCTGAACAAGTACTGCCATTTTCATCGCGATCATGGCCATGACACCGAAGACTGCTATAACCTCAAAGGATAAATTGAAGACCTTATTCAACGTGGTCATCTACGCCAGTATGTTACTGGTAGAGGATAGACCCCACCACCGCCTCATAACCAGGAAGATTAATAGCCCATTGGAAAAATTCACATTATCTTGGGAGGACTAGCAGGAGGTGGAGAATCACTCTCTATCGTGAAGGCCTACGCCAAAAAGGCGTGGCACCCTGACGAATTGCGCCCATCCAAGGCCCCCAGGCATGGCATCAACGAAGTCATATCCTTCTCAGATAAGGACTTAGAAAGAATCCAGCACCCCCATGATGATCCTCTAGTGCTCACCATGACCGTTGCCAATTTCCAAGAATGAAGGATCCTAGTGGACAATGGCAGCTCTGTGGATATCCTATTCACAGAAACTTATGACAAGCTCAACTTGGGCAGGGAGAGACTACAGCCCATCAGGTCAGCCTTCATTGGTAGGGGTGTTTACCCTACTCTACGGGTAGAAAATATAATCTTTCGTCTTTCTACCCGATACTTTGCGGAATAATTTTTTCTTGGTCTATCCTACCCGATCAAGTGTGGTATTTCTACCCGACTTCCTACCTGATTAATCGGGTAGGAAGTTGGGTAAACACTTTTGTAGCTATTAATTTTTGGATCATTTTAACAATTCAATTAAATAACATGTACCAATTTAACAACACAATAAATCAATAACACTAAAACCTAAAACAACCAAAACAACAATTACAATAAAACATAAGAAAGTATGAATATCAATCTATCATAATTGTTACACAAATACAATAACAATTATTTTAAGATTAAACCATATGAAATACATTAAAATCATAGCTGCTCCAATAAATTACCAGTTCACCACAAATTATGTAAC